TGTATGAAAAATTTTCATCAAGGTTGTGATGATATATAAATCTATAATTATAATATCAAATTTATGTTTGGATTAAGTAATAGTGTATGATATTAAATTAAAAATGACAAAACAAATATTAAGGTTCATAATTTACATAATGTGTAACTTTTATGTGAAAGTGTGACTCTAAGTTTGTAAGGATAATAAAGTCATGACATTTTTAATACTTAACTTGTTAAAAATAATATCAGCTACTACTCATGATATTCATTATTACCTAATATTAAGTGTTAAATGACAATAGTAAATCGGGTCGGAATTAATTAAAATTAATACGGAGTCGTTATAACCTCGTCTAAACTTAGTATTATATTATTACTGGATTAAATTAATCTAGTTCACCTCCTTAATACTTAAACCAAACATACCTAAAATTGTATTTGTATAATGGATTTAGATAGACTATGATTTCTTTTTTATATCCTAACTCATCCAACTCAAACCCACTCAGCCACTTAAATTGGATGGGTAAGAGATTATATCATGTTCAAACCATTGTTTGGAAAATAAAAGTACAATTTCATGGGCCCCATAGATTAGACCATTCTTTTGTAGAAGTTGACTATTCTACCTATGGATATATCCAATTCAATCTTTTGTTTGGATCGGTGGGTTAGCCTACCAAGATGAAATGAACTCTTATGGACTATAAATTATGTGTATGAATGTACGAATGAGTAAGGAAAAGGTTTAGAAGGCTAATGGTTGAAGATTGAAAAGATTTGGTAAAAAATTGGGCCTAGGTACTAGTATCTAAGTGATTAAATAACAGTACTACGATGTCGGATGACCTAGGTACCGATACTTAAATCTATAGGCACCAGTACCTAAAATCCAGTAGGTTCAGGTACCAATACCACGATGGACAATTGGCTCAGGTACTGGTACCTAGTAAACGATGAGCTCAGGTACCGGTACCCCGTCACCTAGGTATCGGTACCAGGAAGTTGGAAGGAATCGGGGAAATGAAAGGTCTTGGTACCATTACCACGTCACTCAGGTACTAGTACCTGGAAAATAGAAGGCCCAGGTATCGGTACCTGGCAAACAGAAGGCTCAGGTGCTAGTACTTGGAGTGGTCATGAAATTAATGTGTAACAGGTTGGGTGTCGGTTAAAACTCCGTGCAAAGGAGGCGTTGCCGGACTTTCATTTTGGTTATAATCCCAACTAAAGGGATGAAATGAAGTGGTTTTGGGTGATATGAGATTCATAGATACTTCTATGGGATAATAGATGATCAACGGGATAATAAAGGACCCCCAAATTTTGGGGCATCTATAGATATTTTTCACTCCTCCCTACCCCACCATGGACTGGAAAAGTCAGTTCTAGTTCTAGGGTGCTGTACATGCCCCTACCACTTCATGAGTGGGGATTCCGTAATCAGGCCTGAAGGGCTAGGGTTTAGGGCAAGGCCGAGGACAGGGCTTATAGGTCGGGACTTCAGGGACCCAGGGGCGTGTCTACGCCATCACAGCTTAGATTGATCCGATAGATCAATCGGTGATTCAGGGTACATTCCTACTATCTCGCTTATGGGCAAGGGTATTATTTGATTTGAATGTATCTCATTCATTCATTTATGCATCTTGTGTGAAAGGTTTAGACTTAGAGGTTAAGATCTTGAAGTGTCATTGCATGTGAGTTCTCCCCTAGGAACTAGGATTTGATTGATCAGATATGTCAAGGAAGTGAGTTAGAGATCTCGGGAATTTTACTCACTGTGGGCCTTAGAGTCATGGACATATCAGAGTTTGATGTCATTCTAGGGATGGATTGATTAGCGACACACCAAGTTCTTATTGATTGTAATTGGAAGAAGGTCATCGCTTATACACCAAAGGGTGTTTGTTTCAAATTTTAGGGGGGGAAAAACATGATGCTCTACCCCATGCCGTGTATGACTCTTGTTGGGACATGCAATTGATGGGTTGTCTTACAATCCTTATACTTCAGAACGAGGCAAGACAGGAATTGAGTTTATCTCAGGTAGTGTGCGAGTATGTGGATGTTTTCTCAAATGAGTTGTAAGGATTAGCTCCACATTGGGAAGTAGACTTTACCATTGAGCTACAATCCGATGCATCCCCTATTTCTATGACACCGCATAAGATGACACCTATGGAGTTGCAAAAACTCAAGGTTCAATTGTAAGAATTGTTGGTAAGGGCTTTATTAGGCCGAGCACCTCACCTTGGGGCACTCCAATACTACTTGCTAAGAAGAAGGACAAGACCCTTAGAATTTGTATTGACTACATTCAGTTGAATCGGTTCACCATCAAGAGTAAGTACCCACTACCGAGGATTGACGATCTTTTTGATAAATTGAGAGGGGCACGGGTCTACTCCAAGATAGACCTGTGCACAAGAAACCACCAGTTGAGGATTAGGGAGGCTAAAATCCCTAAGATGGCGTTCATGATAAGATACGTGCATTTTGAGTTCACCATTATGCCATTTGATTTGACAAATCCCCCAGCGGCATTCATGAATCTCATGCACATCCCATCTTGATCAGTTTGTCGTGATCTTTGTTGATGATAATTGGCTGTGAGTACCTTTTATAGAGCTTATTTGACTTTAATTATTATCTTCAAACTTATACTTCATTAAGTTATATTTTTCATCAAATAATTATCAATAAGTACACATTTTAAAACATTTCAAATTCTTTTTGAAATGTATTCCATAATTACCTTACCATAAATATTAATTGTCTATCATTGTTAGTTTCAGTGTTTTCAAATATAATAACTCCTAACTTGAAAATTATGCTAGCATTAAAATTATATATATGTAGAGTAATATTAAATAATAACACGCTCAACAAAAAAATAGTAACATCAAACAGTAACATGCTCAATAAAAAACTTAATTAAAAATTTAATCATTGCAATAGGGTGACACCATATGTGAATATTTATTCTGTTGTGGGGGTATCACTCTATTACAATGATTAAACTTTTATTGAACATGTTACTGTTTGATATTATTATTTTTTTGTTGACTATGTTACTATTTAATATTACTATTTTTTTGTTGAGTGTGTTACTGTTTGCTGATACTATTTTTTTGTTAAACGTGTTACTATTTAATATATATATATGTGGTGACATAAATATAATTTTAATGCTAGCACAATTTCCAAGATATGAGTTATTAATACTAATACAATTCCTAATTTAGGAGTTGTTAATTTTTTCAAATAAATATTGACTAAATATAACTATTTAGGGTATTTTGGATAATGGAGATCAAAATGGACTTATCCCCAAATAAATTTTTTGAGTATACTTAAGTTCAAATAAATCTACAAAAAAGAATCAGCCTCCCTAAGTCCCATGAAATATTTCTCAGATCACATTTATACATAATAAAATATATACATTAATGTATTTAATTAACTTAACAACACTTTCATAAACTGTAATAAATAAAACATTGGTATAATCAACTGCTCATGCATACAACCAATGCACTAAAAACTAAGGCATATATAGAAAATACACATTAATGTATTTAAGATAGGAATATAAGAATTTGCTTGATGTACGTATAATTGATCCTTCAACAGAACTGGCAATATAAAATAAAAAACAAAATTAATCTATAAATTTAGCAAGAGAGTTCATGGTTCTTCATGGACAATTTTTTTTTAAGCAAGGATGAAATATAATTCATAATCAAAATGGAGGGGGGGGGGGGGGGGGGACATGAATTACCCTAGAATTACAATAACAAAGAAAATAAAGGACCACCTAACATTAGCAATACGCGGGGTAACATGTTTCCATTGCATTTAAGACTTGCATGAACCAAAACTTCTCCATTATAAAGAGCTTGCCTATTTTGGTTGCACCCATTACCCATATATCCTCTCTGTCACTACTGGGTGAAGATCATTTTCTGGTTCAACAGATCTAACAAATTCACACACAAAAAATTATAAAAATCTGCCATTGTTAAGGAGAGAAGAATACCTCAAAACCCAGCTTTCCGTTTCCCTCTTATGCCTTTAACGTTTTTGCCTTAAAGCAAGGGTAAAATAGAAACTTTCACACAGTATCCTGGCGTGGAAATATTGACCCACCGAATAGATGGGTTAAAATTAACCCATATAAGTAGGGAATAAATTATTGTGCACCCGGGTCATGGGATAATCCATAATCCGAAAAAGATATCTAGTCTCTCTTTTTTATTACCAAACAAAGGGTTATCTGGGCCTCACCCCTATTTTATCCCATTCAACTGGCGGATAACCACCTTTAGCACACTACACAAACACCACCTAAGGGTTGGAACCATCGAGATACAAAAACAGCGCATGCTTTGTGCTTTCAACACGGAAGAGCCCACAGTGGTCTTGTTTTATGTGGCTGGATACTCTTTGTTTTTATCTTTTCTTAGTGATTCTCAATCAAACATCCGATACTGTTTGAGATTTAACTCAACTCAAAAAAATGTTAATTTTTATTATTTGGGATCAATTACATGAATTTTTCCTCCATTTTAGTCCATCAAATACCATATTTTTTATTTATATCACAAGTTTGTTTTCTTTATAAATTTGAATGATGCATGTAACTTACCTAACACAACCTTTATTGTTTTTTTTGGCTAGGTAAAAAAGGTAGAAGGGTGACCAATAAATAATAACTCTCATTTGGCATGACCATGAGGATCCCCCACTATAGAATATCCGGTTTGAACTATAGCTACTAACTCAAAATGGCAGCCCGTTATCACAGAACTTCCAAAACCAAACAACAAATTATATTACTCTCATAAATTAAACTTTGTTTGATAATCACACAGGAGTCGAGAATGACCCTAAACGGGTATAACTTATCACCAGACCACCAGCTTTGATGGTCAACACAACCCATAATGTGAGAGAGGCTTTAAGGTAAGCAAAGCAAAATGCTTTTCCGAGCATTATTTATCATAAACATTGCATCATTGAAAAGCCTCTAGCAAAAACCAATTTTCATGGGTGAAAGTAACCAAGGTGCGATAGCTCAAACCACAAATGGTGTTGGTGGTTTCTCATAGGTAGACAGATACCTTCATTAGATCCTCCAAATAAATAAAGTGACACAAACGAAACGAGACAACTTTCAGGGTGGCATATCAATGAGGCAAACCACGAGTCTCAACAAGTAAATGGCAAAGGAAAACAGGCACATACTGATTACCACTTAAAAGTCGAAACATTGTACCATCCACTGAATCTTAACAGTATTGGTGGATGATAACAAAAAGAGCAGGGTCTTATTGGATAAACTTATTATTAAGAATTGCATTCCAATTCCTTGCGCGCTCCATCATTAAGCCGGTGATTTGGTATAGGAACGGATGCCAAGAGCCACGATTAAGATAATCAGGGGAACTAAGAACTGAAGCAGCTTGATGATGAAATCTGATGAATTTCCTTGACTGTTTTGAGGCTGTGTGGGAGGAGTATACGTGGTCTGGGTGGAGACAGTTGATGTATCAAAGTCGCCCACATAGAATTCATCCAGCATCGCTCTTGCACTGGTACTGTGCCCAACATCCTCAAAATCATCGGTTGCATCCTTCCCTGCAAGGGACAAACCATTACGACCATCAAACAGTGTCTATTTATCACATTACTTAGCTCTGATTTCTGGGTGTAAAATGAGTTAGACAATGCATTTGAAGGGGCAGGTCTGAGAACCCCACATCTTCATCAATCCAAATTCAATAAACTTCCAATTAAATGCTGCGCCCGACACAAACTTTAACTACCATTAGAACAGTGACAACATAAGAAGTCACCAAAACTATTTATGATGTCAGAAAGATTGCAAATTTTAGTTCCTACCAGTGGCTGTCAACAAAACCTCATCACCACCAGGATGGTCCTCCAAGAACTTTGTCACATCATATACCTGTTCCAACACATTAAAGCATGAAGGGATTTAGAAAACTAAAGCAAGCAAATAATTTCATACAATGCCATAGAAAACTCCATACCCAGTAGAGGAATCAAGATGAAGACCTTAACTGCAAGTTATACAACAGCCACATACTAGTGAAGACGAGTTTTGCAACTCAGGTTGTTCTGCTCAATAAGCCCATAGTAGGTTCACAGGCTATGTAATATATATGAGTTTCTATCTGACAAATAATGAATTCATTGCAATTCAATCCATAATAGTTGTGCTACATATTTGAAACCAATCTAATATGGCATCCATTCAGCTGTGTGTGTGCATGCATATGTAAAACTGCATAATACCCCATATTGACATACAAAGCAATAACGAAATTGTTGTAGACTTTATCAACCAATATTTAAATTCATAATTCATGCTAAAATGTGAAAACATACTAAAATCCTGTGATGAAACAATGACTTCTGCAATTACCTTCCATAAATGACATGGAATCAAGAAAAGGGAAGGAGGGGGTTAAGTGCAAAAAAAATGGATTTATATTGTTTCTGATTTTTATGTCGTTATCTCCAGTATTTTAAATCTCGGCCCGGACATCAACCCAACAAAGGAACCGGGTCAATAGTCGAATCGGTTATATAATAAAAAAATAAATATTATTAATAATAAATATGCTAAATTTGAAATAATTCTTTTCCAGTAAAAAATTGATATCCTCCTATTTTATATTTTGAGCATAATTTGAAATGAAATTCTAGAAAATGTAGAGCCAACCTTGAGCTAAAACCCAAATGCCATTCCAGCAAAGGAAACAGCTAATAATAATAGAAGCAAAGAGAAAGCAAAGAACTCAAAATTACGTAACAATAATAAGATCGCAACCCATATGTATGTTTATGATTTACAAACATAACAGAATTTCGATATAAAGTCTTTAATCAATCAATCTCCAGCAAAAAGTTTTTCAAATTTTTCATCGACTTCAATCCATACAACCCGAAATTAGTTCTATAATCACACATAATTAACCAAAAATAACAGCTACAAACAATGACTAAGTGATAAAGTACCTGTTAAGTGAAGGAAATTCAAGAGCGTATTAAAGCAAAACCTTAAGCCTACTTCGGTTTAATACAACAAAATGACAATGAACAGATTCAGCCAGTGAAGAACTTAGAAAACGAACAGAACCAGGAGGGTGGCAAGACAATCGACAAAGGGAGCTGAGACTGAGAGAGAGAGGCGAGTCGGAGAGATTGAGAGAGGCGAGTCGCAGAGATTGAGAGAGGCGAGTCGGAGAGATTGAGAGAGGCTGAGAAGTTGGGGCTGAGAAACAATTAGGGCTAAATGCCCAAAAAATCTGCTTTTATACCGCTTTAAGTGACCCAGGAGGGTTAATTGTAACAGTTGAACGGTTTAGCCAAAAACCGTCTGGTTCAACAGGTCTTGAGCGGGTTTAATGCTCCAACGATCTAATTAATGAACCAGTCCGGTTCACCATGTTCGCGGGTCAACCCGTCAGGCAGGGGCGGGTTTTAAAAACACTCTTAACAAAAAGATTAAATACCGAATCCATTTTTTTTTATTGTTGCCAAAGCCATTCTATGATGCATTCAAAGCATGCAACGTAGACGATTCAGATAAATTTACTATGTGGACAAGAAGAACCATGGAAGAAGGGGCACCATCCTCAAAGATATGGGGTAACCCTTAAATCGACCCAAACATCAACTTCCACTAAAACTCCAATCAGATCAAAAGGCAGCAGATGAAATTACTAGGAATAAATATCTAGCTTTCTTGTGTTCTAAATGTAGCTGGGAAATTAAATAGCAAAAATCATAATTTCCTTCGTGGGGATTCACATGAAAAATATGGGAAAATCCTACATATATGATAGCCATAAATAAAATCTACCCATTTTTTTAGCTAACTCCTACATATAGAGTTAACAAGCAATTGAAACAAAAGAGCAACGTTGAACTAGTAATGGAGCAATAAAAAGGTAAGTTAACTACACTAGATTCATGTTTTCCTGCTATGAAGTTGCCAATACAGCACTCATGTACCATATGCTCCTCATGTGAGTGCATAGATATTAAATAATTTAGTAAAATCCTTCATCCTTTTTTTTTTTTCCGATAAGAATCAGAAGTAAAATCCTATATATCTAAACCATATAGTCTTTATAGGTAATCCAGCTATTAAAATCTTGCATCCAATCGGATTTAAAAATCATAATTTACACAATTAACACAAATAGTAGATGTCACAAGCAAAATAAAAGGAAAAATACTAGGATAAATTTATCATAACAGAAACTTGAAAATCAATAACTATCTTTCCATCCTCACACACAATCTGATATTCATGGTGGTGGATCCGACAAAGTTTTAGGCGGGTTGTGGGCTACCTAACACAGCCCTCCTCCTTTATCCTAGCTTAGGACACAGGCACCGTTGAATACAACACTGGACGACAATCTGACATTCACATACTGATTTTATATGCCCAAGTAAATCTTCAAGGGAATTAAGGTGTTAATATAAAGAGATATAAATAGTCAAATTCTCAATAATGGGAAGAAAAAACCCAAAACTCAGACAGAAGAGAATAGATTCATCGCACCCTTACAGATACACCGGGGATCACAACAACATCAATAACCCAGATTAAGAAGAAGAAAGATTACTCAAAAACTTTTGAGTTCTTTAACAGATCTAATTGATGAAGGCATGTGAAATCATGAACAAATCGAATCACTCATAAGCACTGAAAAGGGGGTGAATAGAACTGTACCTTGCCACTGATGACGATCCAACAGTCATTGGAAGTGGTGTGGTCGGAGACCTCCGCCAAAGTAAAGACCTTTCCGTCGCCACCCATTGCAAAAAAAACACAAAGAAATCGACAACTGGGTGAGTAAAGATCTGTGCTTTTAGCTCTTCAAAGCTTGTGAAAGGGCTTGAAGATAGAGAGACAGAAGAGGGGGTGGGGAGGTTGGTGAGTCAATGGAGGCGGTAGATTCAAGAGGGGAAGTGGGGTTGCGAGCAAGGAGGCAGAGATAGATAGGCTGTCGAAGGTCAATGTGTGAGCGGTTACCAACCTTTTTGGGTGTCCTGCACTTTATAACTTCCTCGTGTGGCTACTTTTGCTCTTCCGTCCCTCTTATTTAATGTAATTCTAATTTGGCCCGGACTTTTTGCAATAATGGTGGGTTTTTTCACATTGGGCCTGACTGGAATTTACTTTTTATATGGAAAGTTGCAGTTTGAAAAGTTCATAAAAAAGTTAAGAGTTAAAAAAGTTTCACATTTGAGGTGCTATTTAAAAAGTTGAAAAAAATTAAAAAAGTCTGTTTTGAGTAATTTTTTTAATTTTTTTGGCTTTATTTTGTTAAAATAAAAAAAATAATTATATGTTTGTACAGATTATGCATAATAGTTTTTAAAATATGAATTTTAAATTTTTTTACATCACTAATAATATTTTATAAATATAATAAACTAAAAAATTATGTACAACCCGCGACAAAACTCTAAAAAATCGGTAGAAAAACTCATAAAATTAACTTCTTGAATTAGCCTAACTAAACTCTTTTGGGTCCAAAAAATCTGCCGCATAAGTTTATAAAATAACCAAGGTCCAAACAGACCTAATTTATTTTATTCTACAACTCTTAAGAATTACTTACTTAAGCTGACTTAAAAAAAAAACTAACTCCAATTAGGCCCAATAAATCATAAAATTACGAATTATTTAAGAAGTTTGATGATTGATAATGCAAATATGCCAATGTAATAAATACATAATTCAAGGTTCCAATTGTAAAATAAGAAAATAGCAACCTTGGCCCTTTTTTTTTTCAGACGATAAAAAAATTCCATGATTTCCTCGTGGATTCGTGTTTGGACAAAAGAGCAACTAAAGCGATGTTTGCCTAGTACCACCGCTTGTCATTTTGTTGGGGGATCCGTGCTAGAGCCTGGCTAAGTATGTGTTCCTTATAATAACTACATAAGAAGTACTGCCAATAAGTCGATTATGTAAATATCATATATAATTTATACCGTGTCAAAATTTGACTAATGTCATAGAAGTTATAAATAATTTGTGTGTAGGTGAGTTTGGATTGTATGTAAATATTGTTTAGTTGAGTTGAATTAAATTTATATTGATTTATTTATTTTATGAGTATTGTGAATTGACTAGTTTATCACTTCAATTGCTAAAGATCAAACTTGGGATAAGTATATGGTACCCAAGACAAATGTGGATACCATACCAAAATTAATTCAGAGTGGTGGATTATAAATTGAGTGATTTGTAATAATGATAAAATAATATAAAATACAAATATATATATATATATATTAAAATAATAATGAATAGAATGAGAAGTAGCAAAAGAATACTTTTTGTTACTATAATACGAGTGTGACAAAAGAGAAGCAGAGAATTATACCCAGATTTTTTGAGGTTTGTCACTTAATCACTCAAACTTTCAGATATTTGAAATATTATACATAGATCTCTTGAGGTTTGTATGCGCGTAACACTTAGACCATTGATGTAAGTATATCATTTAATAAATTATACTTAGACCCCTCTAAAGTTTGTAAGTATATAATACTTAGACTCTTTGAATTTAAAATATTATACTTAAATCAAATATATAATATCAAATATTTTAAATTTAATAAAAAAAATTTATATTCTATTGTATTATTTATTGAAATAAAATTAAAAATAAAAATTTATTTTTTTCTTAAAAAATTGTAATTAGTATACAATTATATTATCTATTAGAATAAAACTAAAAAATCAAATAAGGGGCCTAAGTCATTCATAATATAAAATAAAATTTACATCTAAAATTCATGTGCTATTATTTTATTATTGAAATAAAATCAAAAATAAAAGTAAAGTTTTTTAAAAAAAAATCATAGTTAGTATATAATTATACTATATGTTAGAATAAAACTAAAAAATTAAACAAGGGGTCAAACTGTAATTGACACAATATCTTTTAACTTTAATTGAGATAGTTTGGTGTTTAATTTGGTTGTTTAAACGATCAAATTAAATTGTAATAGACAATATAATTGTAAACTAATTATGATTTTTTAAGAAAAAATTGAATTTTTATTTTTGATTTTATTTCAATAAATGATACAATAGAACATGAATTTTGGTTGTAAAATTTAAAATATTTGATATTTTATTTTTGATTGGAATACTTTTGATCTAAGTATAATATTTTAAATTTAAGGGATTTAATTATTATATACTTATAAATTTTAGGGGTCTAAGTATAATTTAATAAATGATATATTTATATCAAGAGTCTAAGTATTACGTGCGTATAAACTTCAAGATCTGTATATAATATTTTAAATGTTAAGGAGTCTAAGTAATTAAATAATAAATTTTATAGGATCCATATAATTATCCGAAAGAGGAAAGATTACCTGAGCAGTGAGCAAGTACCAAACCCCAGGCATACATCATGAGACTGATATGTGTTGATAAATTCTGCCTTCCAATCTTTTTGGCAGCCATTCACTTTCTCTTCCGCTAGTTATTTTTTTCTCTACAAGTTCTTCCGTCGACTCTTTCAAACTTTAAATTAATCACTTAATTGGAGTTAGGTTAAAAATATGTTCTCTTAAAAGCGAGAGTTGCTATAGCCCTTAGGAGGTGTAGGAATTAAGAAATGTCAAACTTGATACTTTTTTTTTTTTTTTTGCTCGAGAAAAAGAGAGTGGGAACAAGTAAGAGTGCGTAGTGACCACTCCAATAGGTCCTCATCAGTGGGATCATAAGACCCCTAACAACACCTGAAATATTTTTTAAGATCAGATTTAACTAGGTTAGTATGACGGTCAACCATCAAACCTTAATGAAGACTCCAAAACTTGGACCCTCAACCTCTATGAGAAATAAGGTCAGTATCTCACTAAATCATCCTATTTAGTGATAAACTTGATATCTCTTTCTTGCAATAAAATAGACTTGAATATTGAACTATTCCTAAAATTTCTCCTCCACTAGTTTATTTGCGTACAAAAAGATCTTTTGTTGGGCCATCCAATTTATTAACACTGGCGCCGGAGAGCCACCCCTGCATTTTTTATTAAAAAAAAAAGGTAAGTTGTCAGCAGTAAGTTCTAATTTCTATTGTCCCACTATTGATTTTTTAAGGTTGCGAATTTAAACTTCGTCCTTTTTCTCCCTTAGTGTCTGGCCAAAAAACAAAAGTCTAATTTGAGCGATAAAAATAAAGGTTAATTACAAATTACGCTCTGAAATTTCGTTTGAATCTCAATTTACACCTTCAAAGATATAAATTTATATCAATGTGCACCCTCAAAGATCAAAAATTTCAATTTTCACCCTTAAACATAGAAATTTGTATCAATGTGCACCCCTCAAAATAAAAAATCTTAATTTGCATCCTTAAAAATAGAAATTTATATTAATGTGAACTTAAAACTAAATTGATAAATTATACCTAGATCCTTTTATACTTTTCACTTAATCATTTGAACCCTTTCACATTTAGAATATTACTCTTACATCTCATGATGTTTGTGCACGTGTAACACGTATCCCATTTTCGTTAAGATTTATTAATATAACCGTTAAAAAATATGATTTTATTTTAATAAAAAATTATAATTTCATATTACCTTTTATTTTATGGGTTCAATATACTCTAAAGTTCAAAATCAAATTTACCATTTGAATGTCTAATAGAATAAATGGTTGCACATTGAGTGATATATTGCATTGGATATAAAAAATATTATATAAATATCTACATTTTATTGGGCATTCAAATGATAAGCTTGATTTTGAATTTTAGATTATATTGGACCCATAAAATAAAGGGTAATATGAAATTATAATTTTTTATTATGATAAAATCATATTTTTTAACTGTTATATTAACAGATATCAATGAAAAGGAGTTACGTGTTACATGTGCATAAACGTTATAAGATGTAGGAGTAATATTCTAAATGTGAAGGGGTTCAAATGATTAAGTGACAAGCATGAGGAGATCTATGTATAATTTATCAAATTTAGTTTTTGGTGCACTTTGATACAAATTTCTATCTTTGAGGGTATAAATTGAGATTTTTTATCTTTGGGGATGCACATTGATACAAATTCTATATTTGAGGGTAGAAATTGAGATTTGTTATCTTTGAGGGTGCACATTGATACAAATTTTTATCTTTGAGGGTGTAAATTAAAATTTTTGATCGTTGAGGGTCTAAATTGAGATTCTAACTATCTTTCGGGGTGTAACTTACAATTAATCCTAAAATTAATCATGTAGTAGGTGGGTGATAAAAATAGAATGAAAATTTGAGATTAAATTTTATGAACCAAACAATATGATACATCCACACACCAGTTAAATATTTTTCGGCATCCCTTATTGATCATTTTTTTTTCAACGGGGAAAATCTCTAACCAATCCTCGATAAAATAGAGGTAACTTAATCGCTTAGGCTCGTGAGTCTAAGTAGAACTGAGGGTAAACTCTAGGCGTATTAATTGATTTTTTCAACTCATACATTAATTAATTCAGGATTTGCACTTTAATGGGGATTCAAACTTATACCAAAGACTTAGATATGATTCATTCAAACAACTAAAGTCTGCCCTACCAACCGACCACACTTTTTATTGCCTAAAAAACTTGAATCTGTGACCTCATAAAACATAAATTTTCATGAAATAAATGATACTATTAAACCACACACCCATTAATTATTAATCAAAATTTTGACCTACCACCCTCTTCTTTTTGAAAGTAGGTTTGACGCAGGGACAAGATTCAACAGGTACGACGGATACTAGCAATGGAAAAAGAAAAATATTCATTCAAGCCCAATGCAACCACTATGGGACCCAAAAGATTAAATGTATGGCCCTTTGAAATTAGACTTATTACTATAGTAATTCATGTTTACCGTTATAATTATAATTTGATAAAAAATAAATTTTTTTGGTTAAATAAAAGTTACAAAAATGGCTACAAAGTCAAAAGATCAAAACATATCCAATAAATAGG